CTCATAGACACTCAGTGAAAATAATAAAGCTTTGTTTTCCTATATTTATACAGTATTCTGCAATGTGATGTTAGATGAGAAGGTTTCAGCTTTTTACTTATTCAGTGATTTGTTTGGTGGAGCTGTCGGCCATCTTTCCTTCTCCTAAATTCCGCAGGCCTGGAATCTGTTTTATTTCTACATTTTTTATCCTCTTCACTTTTCATGCAGATACAGTTTGCTTTATTTTCACTGCAAGGTTCTGGGTAATCTGTGTTCTCTCCTGTCTCTGTCAGGCTGAAGGAACCCCTCAGATGAAGAGCCACAACGCCCTGCTGTGTCCTGCAGGTCAGCGCCTCAAAGCATGATGGTCTCATTGGAGAAACCTTTCGAGTAATCTGTGTTTATTTTTTAACATCTGCTCCCAGATGGTCCGGTGGAAAGGAAGATCTCTCTGCGGCTGCCTGCTAGGTTCGTGGCCGGGTCGGCCAGAGCCACCGTTTCTGTCCTGGGTAGGTGATGAAGTGACGAAGCACTGCCACGCCTGCAGGCTCACGTTGGCCCCGGTAATGACATCAGACCCCCCCTCCTGCAGGTGACCTGATGGGCCGGGCCCTGCAGAACCTGGATAAGCTGCTGGCCATGCCGTACGGCTGCGGGGAGCAGAACATGTTGCTGTTCGCTCCAAACATCTTTATCCTGAACTACCTGAAAAGCTCCGGCCAGCTGACCGACGCCATCCTGCAGAAGGCCAAGCACTTCCTGGAGAGCGGTGAGAAGTCTTCCTGAATTCCTCTACTCTGCTCGATGGAACCACAGCCTTCATTAATCCTCATTAGATGTTTAATTACGCTGCAACACTGGAAAAAAATCCAAGTCATTTTTTCTTAAAATAAGTGCTTTTGCTCTTGAATTGAGGAGGTAAAAGAGACATTTTCCAATGGAACAAGACAATTTACATTTAAAATAAGAAAAAACAATTGCATTGTCTTATTTCAAGTGCATATTATCTAATTATCTTATTTTAAGAATAAAAAGACTCATTCCATTGGCAAATCATCTTAATTAACTACTAAAATTAAGGGTAAATACACTTAATGTAAGAAATGTTTACTTTTTTCTAGGTCATTTTTGCAGTGCATGCAATTTTGTTTTCTCATTCTAAATCTAAATTTTCTTGATCTATTGGCAAAATGTCTGTTTTAACTCCTCAATTCAAGAACAAATGCACTTATTTTAAGAAATGATGACTTATCTAGTTTTTGATTTTTTCTGGTGCAGTAAAGATGACTGCAGAAACACAACTTTTCCTTTTCTGTCTATAAACACAGAAAAATCTCTGAAAAGTGTGAGAATTCAGTGTTGCTCATCTTTAATGTCAGTATAAAAAGGATGAATTAGAGGTTGGAGCGTGGCAAACGATGGGAGCTTTGAGGTCCGAGGCTCCGGGGAGCTTCAGAACCAAAGAAAAACTCCATCATTGTCCAGTGGGGCGGGAGAAGGAGCTGTTTAAAGAGCTGCTGCTCTCTGTCTTTGTTGCAGGATACCAGAGGCAGCTGAACTACAAGCGTGACGACAGCTCCTACAGCGCCTTCGGGAACAGCGACCCCTCTGGAAACACCTGGTCAGTAACAATCAGCAGCTCTTAGGCTGCCACTAAAGATAAATGATTTAACCCTTTATAGGCCAGTTAGCAGTTTTCATCACTTGCATGGATTGTTATTACACTGCAAAAACGATGAGTAAAACTTTTTTTAATTAATTGTATTTAATTTGAGCAGGTAAATAAGATAATCTGCCGTTGTAATGAGCATTTTTACTCTTAAAATAAGTATAAAATAAGATAATTATATATTATTCATTTGAAATAGGAGACTACAATAATTTTTTTCTTATTTTAAACACTGCAAAAACATCTAGAAATAAGTAAAAATGTC